AATTCGATCACGCATATCCCAAAAAGGACTACTCGCCACCCCAATATTTCGCTGCTCTTCCTCTTGCTACCATGGCCGACAAGTCTGGAACGTCATTCCGGAGTTTTAGCAAAGAGTCCCATAAACTCATGAAGAACCTGACCGGGAAGGACGCGCCCAGCAACCGCTATAGCAGCCTAGCACCACCAGTTACCTCTCGTTTCACTGCTGCCGTCTCATCATTATCCACTGCCTCATCGTCCGCCGCCACTGTAACGGAGCCACAGATCACCGATGACCTTGCTTCCGTGTCGCTTGCCGCGATGCCAATCCCCAAAGCACCAATACCAGAGGTGGCAGAGGAGGATATGGCTTTCCGCCTGCAAAAAATTGAGCATGTACAGTCTTCTCGCGCTCGAGTCAGCACCACATCATCTAATTCTATATAGGTGCTCAAGGAGGCCTGGTCAGATCCCGCGCGCTTTCAAGCGCTTCAGGAAACGATCATCGAGGCTGTTCAGAACACGGCCTCTCGCGAATCTCCCCAAACCGCCAAAGCGCGGCAGCGCATGCTTACCTATTGGTACAGCTTCTTAATGCAAGCACTTCCGACTCTCAGCCCTAGTGACCGCTTCAACATCGCGATCGTGGTCCAGCAGATGCCGCGCTTCCTGTGGTTCATGGCAAGTCTTGTCTCTTCTTTTTCATCCTATCTTCCTTGAATCCAGTTTCTCCAAAGGTTGAAGCCGTACCACCACTCCCCGGACGGAAGGCCATCAAAGCTCGCACTCTAGTCGGGTGGCTTGGAATTTGCGTTCACCTCATATTACAACACACTCGCGACCCCGATACCAGCCTTCGCTGCGGACTGGAGGCGTTGAGCGTTTACGAGCTCTATGACAAATTGCAAAACACTGTACATCAAAGTATGTTATTGCTACAGCCAGTCACTGCATTTTCACTTATATACTTGATTCAGTCGTACGCACGAAGGACCTCGATCGGTACTACACCCACCGTGTATACTACGGACAAATGGAATTACGACTGATCATCGAGGCCGCACTACAACGGATGACGCCCTTCACTTGCAAGGTTAAAATAAACAGGTCTTTTTCCTCTTTCGAGATGATTATTCACCAGCTGATCATTCCTAGTTCCTCTCTCTTGGCGATCTCATCATTCGCCACTTGTCTGACGGCTCGTTTGAGGTGGAGATCCTACTGAAAAACTTTAAAGGTTGCTTTAAAGAACTTGGGCAAGTACAAGAGTGGATTCTCCATCAAGTCCGATACACGCACAACGTCCCATTCGACATTGTGACCTACCTCATCTCTTACCTGTACATGGCTGACGCGTTCGAGACCAAGTTTAAGGTATATATATTTCAATCACAACGATAGCCTACTGATCCTTTGTAAAGAGTATCGATGACCTCTTAAACGACACCAGTGCCGAATTGCGCATCGATCCCTCCCGTCTTGCAGAACCATTGTATGCCCCTTCTTTTCTCGTTCCTCTTCGTTTCTCATATTATAGGTTTCCCGCGATGGGCCCAGGTGGACGTGCCTTCCAAGAACCTCTCAAGCCAGCAACAACCGGCTCTCTCTCACAGACGTGTATATCTCTTGCCAAAGATGCTGGTCTCCCGGCAGTCGGACCACAAGCTTTCCGGCGCGATACTGCAAACTTTCTTGCGGTAATGAAGGGCGTTTCAGAGGCTCAAATGGCTTGCAAACATGGCGAGACCAGCGTCTTTTCCGTGCATTATAGTAAAGGGACAAGAAATATGAATCCTGTAGAGACTCGACTACTAGGAGAAGATCAGCCCGGGGGTTCTACGATGCAGTTTGACCCCAATCCGCGACGAGCGGTTGCGGCACGAGCGTGGATGGATCTTTTGTTAATTGACAGCTCTCTTTCGGTTAATTCTACAGCGGATGAGATCAAGGATGCAAAGGTAGTGTTTCTCCCCGTCTATTATACGCTTCGACTGATTTCATTTGTAGAAGGCTGCCAAGATGACTGAAAGGACTGAGGTCAAAGGCAAGGTCAAGGTATGTTCTTCTTTCTTCTGCTTGATGCACCGTGTTCACGATGACTAGGAAGATGTAGTCTTTCAAAAAGTCTCCGACGAACTCGCCCAAGCATGGACCAACTTTAGAGCATGTTTTACTCCAGAACTCAATCGTTATTACGACAAGGACATGCTCAGCCAGATCAACTTTTTGGTGACACAAGGGCTTCGGCGCAAAATTCCTCCCAAAAAGGCTGACAAAGCAGGACGATCGTTCGGATTGGCACCCGGCATGACCCCGAAAGACGTTGAAGAGGTAGGTCATCGTTACACTGTTGTCGTGCATTTCTCCAAGTTTTCTTTTAGAGAGAGGCCATCGTGCGAGCAGCCGGCGCCGCTGTGGTAACTCGCAATCAGTCAGTCTCAAAACAAACACGACGTGTGGCCAATCGCGACAAGACCAAGGACTATCGTTCGGGACACTTACCACGCGAATTGACGTCCGTACAAATGGAGACAGCGGTCGAGCTCGCCCAACAGCCACCAAGTTATCTTCAAGACCGTATTAAAACATCCTCCGTCGCACCAGCACCATCATCTTCACGACCGCTCCCGACCGCTACAACTACGGTACCGTCATCGTCTTTAGCAGTGCAAACCGGTGAGCCGCCGTCATCCGTCGCATCATCTTCAAGATCGGTCCCGACCTCGGCAACTACGGTCGAGCAACCGTCGTCGTCGTCTTCAGTGGTGCCCCCTCTCGAAGATGCGGATCTCCATGACATTGGCGAGTATGAAGATCCCTCTTTTCTTGATGACATACTGCCTGTCGGCACCAGGGTGAACCTTTTGAAAGTGCAAGAAACTGTCGACGCGATTCCGGGGCCCATCGCTATTGGCAACGACGATGATTCAAGGTCTCCCGAAGAGATCGAAGCGGGGGAGGATGAATCCGGAGAGGAAGAGCTCACCGACATTCCGGTTCGCACCATGCTTGAGTTCTTCATGCGCCACCTGGTCGAAAAGCACGAGACAAAACTGGCAATGGATAAGGCCAAGGTCTGGTTGACTTTTTGAACACACTGTCGTTTCTGACCATCTTTTAGCGCGAAGACGGGCGATACGAATGTGCGCTCTGTCCCCTGTTCCGTGATGGTGAAGTCTCTATCGCTGACAATGTCGAGCATTACCAACGGCACCAGTGAGTCATCTTTCAGTATTTTGGTCGTCGTGTACGCATACATTCCAGGAACATGTGCCACACTGGCTGGATTCAGCTCGAACTGCGATGTTATTCTGGTGATGACGATTATATGTGTCCATATTGCGAACAAGAGTACGGAGTCACCCAGATTTCTCATTACGATATTGACCATTCACAATAAGGTTTGATAATATGCACGCAACTCGACAGCACATGGTCAACGATGAAACCTGCCCAGGTTTCCACGTTGTCAGGACCTTGGCCATTCGTCACCAGTGATTTACTGATTCTGAAAACAACCATGAAACTGTCGCAACGTTTGAGCTCACCGCTGACAGAGGTGACGGATTCGACGATCGGCATACTCGCCTTGTCGGACGACGCCCCCGAACTCACACTGCCAAAGCTACTCAGAATCGACAATTGACACAGTTCGAAGAGGCTCTGACAAAGGTGGGTGAAATCTGAGATTTCGATGCTCCAACTAATGGTTCATACAGGATGAAGAAGTACCTAATAGTATGTCCAACTATATGCTTGCCTTCGCGCAGATGGTGAGGAAGCGCGTTGTCAATGACGGCGAGCCTATTCAAAGCCGAGACTTTGTAGATTTGGGGGAACAGGCCGAGTAACATGTAAAGCATTCAATTCCAGTAGACATTCCAGTACGACTAGCAAAGTCACAGCAATCCATCAGCACATCTAGGTCCGAGCAAGAAAGCCTCTAAGTCATCCAGAAGTCATCACAACGTCAGTTTGCAGAGCATTCTCCAAAATCAATTTTGCCGCAGAGGGGTTGTCAATGGGAAAGGTGAGGCTATTGCTATAGGCGATGCAGGTTTCTAGCTCCGTGTTCGTCAGTTTTTGCGGTTTGGCGGCCTCCAGTAGGAGCCATCGAGCTTTCTGCGCTGGCGTAAATGGCATGTCGACGGCTTTCGGTATATTGGTGACGTCTTGCAGTTTCGCCTTTTTATGCACGCGATCCGGACCTAGAAACGCGAAAATTAGGCGCTTACAACGAAGGACTCTGCTACTCACTGGACGGGGCTTGTGCTTGGAGCCTAGCGAGCTCCATCTCCTTGTCGAGGGCCGCCAAGTGATTGGCGTGTTGTAGTTCCAAAATATGCTTCTGTCCCTCCACCTTTGCCTGCTCCAACGTAATCTCTTTCTGCAATTCGAGTTCCACGGCCTCCTTCTTCGCGATACGTTCTGCCTCGACCCTCCGCAGTCTTGCCTCTTCCATGTCCTTCTCCTGCTCCAGCATCCTCTCCTTGGCCGTAGCGAGTTTCAATTCGATGTTTTGGAAATGTACAGAGAGCTCAGCCATGTTGCTGACGGCCTTTGACGTCTTCTTCTTGGTCGTCTTGGTCTTCTTGACGGGCGATTCTATGATTCGAGAATCGTCGGACTCCAGGTCGGAGGAGTCGACTCTTTGTGCAGCGCGAGACTTGGATCTGGTCATGATGGTAGAGAGTAAGGAGAGTGATCAATGATCGGCAGACCCATATATTCAGCCCAACGCATATATTCGGCCAAATACTACGTAGATCCTTCCGCTGATTATCTCTGGCATACAAGACGTGCTGTTGCTGCTATATAGATGCTCTCCGAACACTGTTAGGAACTGGGAATATAAGTAACAAAACTAGATGGCATACATAGGTAATTATCGGTTCAGAACATTAATGGCGTAACGATGTAATTATGCTGTGTTCCAGGTAGTAAGTAAGTACGCGTTTCGAATCATGAATCATGATTCAAATTTCAAAACTTGACGGAGCCAACAGAAGGAAAACAAAACGACCACGGCAAGGATCGAACTTGCAATCTCCACCTAATAACCCCGGAAAGTGGCGCGTTAACCATTACGCTACGCGGCCATGGCTGTGGTCTCGCACACAGAACCTATCGGACACGGCGGCACAGGAGATAGCAGAAGACGGACCGCGAGCGGGAAGGCAAGAACTTGAAGAAGGGAAGAGTTCAAGTTTTAGTGTATATCAATTAATCGTTACGTTTGCTGGTTGTCTGACTCTCAATGCCTTCCTATCCAACCACGATACGGCCGAAGATGTGGGACTGATGCTCATGATTACGAAGGGTATGCAAGGGATGTCTAGGATGTTGAGAAACTAATGAAGCAAAAGTGAGCGTCAATGTACACGTAGAGCTCCCTTGATGAATCATTGAATAAGGACAGATGTCGAGTAAGGTAGTAACTAGTAGAAACAACCAAGAATCGAGGTCGCGCAAGGCGGTTCTGCAGTGTGCGCGTTTCCGCGTCGCAAATCGTCTACTACTAAGTACGATATCGACAAACTCTACCCCTAACAGTCATACGTATGGTATCACATAACAACACAGCAAGAGTTTTTCTGCAAGACAATGTTGAATATAAGGCAAGCGTACAGAGGATGGCACACAAACCTTCTTAGTTGTCTTGTAGAACATCTTGCTCTGGGCGGACAAGGCAGTCGATCTGTCAACCAGATTGTCCAGCTTCTCTCCTCGTTGTAGGACGGATTCAATGGTTTTGTGCTGACGAAGACGATGAGCTCGCTAATTTTCGAAGCAGATAAGGTAAATACCAGCACGATCTTGGTCTCATCGAGTTCTTCTTGGACACGCATGATCATGTCTGCTTGCCTGGGATCTTGGTACTTCTGGATGTATGTGTTGATGGCGGGGAAGGAGATGGATGCAGGGTCTTTGAAGGATGTCTGGGGGACTTTGGCAGTGAAATCGTCCAGTAGCTTGGTCAAGAGCGAGAAGGCGGGGCGGACTGGATATTCTTGGTCCGTGATAACAACAGCTAAACCAAGCCTCAATTATTGCGCATGGCAGACATGAGGATCACTGACCGGCGAGCTGCTCGGCACCGCCCCGGTTGTAGACGTGGGCGGTGTAGTTGTTCTCTTGGATACTCTGCCGCTGTCCTTGGGCTGTCCGCTCGGCGACAGTCTTGGAGAAGAATGACATGAACTCGCCCACCGAGCCTTTCTGATAGAATGAAAAGGTCGAAAGGTCGCTGGCCGTGCTAAAGACAGTGGATGCCCCCGAGGGTGGAGCAAGAATGACGGACAGCGAGAAGATCTTCATGATAGTGGCAGTCCTTCAACGTTGAAGGACTGCCACCATCATAACGTTGAAGGACTGCCACCATCATGAAGCTTCAACATCAGGAAAAACCTACATTGCCTATTTAGTACCTTTTATGCATAATTAGGCAGTGGCAAGGAATTTAGGACATTTTAGAACATTTTTATGAACGAGATGGCAGTAAAACACCAAAGGAGAAATGAATATTGAATTACTAGACATCCGCCAGAGAGTTTATACATATAACTCGCGATCCGTAACACGAATACTCACGAGCAGCCGATCCGCGATCTGTTTCCTCGCCTCGACTCGCGAGTTTGACGCATTACACGCGTAACTCGCAAATCACCCACCCAAATCCATTCATGCTCGGCGAGCATCCCCGGGCAATGGCACGGGGACACTCAGCCGTGCATGAGCAGGGACTGATGGTGGTGATGGAGGAAGTGATACAGGGAGTGGTGATGGTGAGGAAGGTAGTGAGATGGTGGGGAAAGCAGTGAGAAAGGAGGACGAGGTGGTGGTGGTCGACATTCTCGATGCGTCGTCGTCGTCGCCATCCTCGATGCGTGGTGTTGTCGTAAACGGCTTGTTATGCTCATTGTCGAGGCATTGGCTCTTCGCCGTCGAGGCGTCGTCATCTTCACCCAGCTCGGCGCAAAGCCAGAGCCAAGAGTCGTCGCAGGAGCCCCGAAAATACCTGATCCTCGCGGAGGGCCTCGCACACACCCAAAGCTCATATCTCCACCCCAGAGGTGGCCCAACGGATATCAAAGCGACAGTGGTGACAGCTGTCGCCACTGAGTGGTCATAGTGATGGGGTGGAGGAGAGAGCAGGGCGATCGGACTTGGTTAAAACGCTTACGTGTTTGGTTCGGACCTCGGCCCAGACCAACCGAGCCACGTGCATGTTTACTTTTCATTTCTCTAAGTCCTCTCATCCCCCTGAGCCTCTTCCCACACCCCGTCTTATCGCATGCCCGAGCACCAGCTCACGTTGGACGACAACGGCGGTAGGACACACCAACAACGACAGGCGACAGCCGTGGCAACAGCGGCGGGGCACAAGCACGGACACTCTCTAGCAAGGATGACCAGAGGACGACGACGGCAACAATCATGCAGTCAGCCGGCGAGGACAAAGCCCTCCACGTCCAAGTGAGGATGATGACCACCACTAACCGCGGCTAGCGGGGACGAGTTCAGTATGATGACGCCCAGCACAACAACGACACCCAGAGACGACGACAAAGACCGTGAACCGAAAACGGTCAAGCATCATTTTAACCGGAACGGAGATCGCGCTGTCTAACGCGCACGACGACGACCATTTCTCACACCACAATGCGCAGCACCTGTCGACGACTCATTCGCTACACGGACGGAGCCCTTGACGACTTTTCTCACTGTCTTGTCTCTGTATTGGGCCGTAATTTGGATCGACCCCGTTGAGCTTTGCGCTGCAGGGCTCCTCAAGCGACGATGTGTGGGCGCTTAGATGGAGACCGTCGTCTGCTGGCGACGACCACGCGCAAGGTGCGTTGTCACTTCTTCTTCGCTTCGTTACTCATCTTCCTGTACTTTAGCATCGATGCTCCACAGGCTAGCGGTGCGTCTTTCAGTGTCATTGTTTCCGCCTTTCAATCCCACTTTTCTGCTGAACACGTCAGCCCTTCAACGACGCTCTAGATTTGTGTGACGAGGGCGCGACAACCACCACCAAGCGAGGACGACGTTGCAAGGACAACATCAGCAAGATGATGAGACTGCCAGCACAACCCGAGGACAATGCTGGCTATTACGGCCCACTACCGCAGGACGTGATTTATTCTCCTTCAAGGACAACCACGATGCTCGTTCTACATGAAGGGTATGTTTGTTCTTTCCATATCGTCCAGAGGTTTATTTACCTCCTTTCGTGTAGCACGCATGGGCAAGACTTACAAGGTACGGCAACCTCATTAGCAGCGGCCTTCTCCAGGGCACCCGCATGTTCAGCTAGGCGCAAGACTATCTCCAAACGCGACGGCTTCGCCAGCTCCTACAAGATCGCCCGCGCCAACTACGACGACGAGCGTGGCTAGCTGGCTGGCCAGACCATCCAGCCTGCATCGCGTATCAGCGTCATCCTTGTGATTGTGAGTTCCCTCCCAACTACCATCATCTCACCTTGTTGACTCCTTTCGACTCGTAGATACCCACCTTCGACATCGTCTCTCACGTTATTCAACCCTCTGGTTAGTTGTTTCTGGTATATGCCCATCAACGAGGTTGCTCACACACTCTTCAGACTTTCCTCTTGCAGCGGTACGTGCCCTTGACTCGATGATAGTATCGGGGTGGTCTATGCTAGTCTCGGATGCCTGAACTACTGTATATAATGTTATCTCTTCAGTACTCTGTCTATGTATCTATAGCTTGCTTCGATATGTAGTGCTCATAATGCTATCAACATTTGTTCTGCTTATATTGTGTGATAAAACAGTCTAATATGAGTCTAAAGTAGCAGCTAATTAATGTATAACTCTGATATAACTTATGTGTAATCTATGTCTAAAAGTGTCTAATATGGCAAGGGGGAAGGGCATAAGTGTGCATTTTAGACATAAATGCTGAGATCTGCTATTCTAGCACTATTTAGACCATTTTAGAGATTATCTATGACTACTTACGTATAATATGGCAATGTGGGTTTTTCCTGATGAACTCCCACGCTTTATCATCAGCTAAGAAAGAGAAGATACATCGTAACAAGCCGTGGACAAATTCCTTCTAGCTTAATGATATTAGGTTCATTACTCCGATAGGCATTCTACTATCAACAGTCGGGGTGTAAACGACAAAACTACTACAGATAGTTTTGCTAAGAGACACCGAATCGACATCGGCCAATCGTGACATCGTCAAACCTTTCATTCTGGGCGGGTGTGCGTCGTAGTGAGACTCAACGCCATTTCGCCAGGCGGCCTGTCGTTTGCTTCCCCTGACGCCATACTGTGCATTTAATGCGCCATCGTGCGTCTAGTGCTTTCAAGGTAACCTCTAGGTTGTAGACCACCTCCCACCTCTCAAGTATGACTATTCAAACGTCACGGAAATTCACGAGCCTGAGGAACCTGCTTGAGCCGAGGGTTTCGTTTCTCAGGTTTCTGACTCTTCCTGGCTACCGTCCGACTTTCTATTCTTGAACTTCATCTCCTTCTGTGCCTCCTTCATCGGCGACCGAGATCCAAGCTCGTCAATCTTCTCTCGAACGGTTGGCTGTCCTTGATTCAGTGACCCCTTCTTCCTCACAGGCAATGCGTTCGGGCGGCGGCTCAAAAGGAGCAGACAAACTCTTCTTGAGCACCGCTTTAACACCTTTTTAGAACGGGCCCACATTCGGCAAGGGCCAGGAAGTGTATCTGCTATCTTGCGAGAGCCTCTGTCCGTGGTGAGAGCTTCGTGTGCCACATGGGTTGCTCTTTTGGGCAGACCGTCGTTGGTTGTCCCTCGTCGGATGCTGGTTTCCATGGCAGGACCAGTGTTCAAAAACCCACCATTGTTCTGAGGCGCGAGGCGGCGGTTGATGGCCCCCAAAACGTCGACGGCAGTGGTGTCCTGCAACGTGTGACGGGACACACACGTGGTGCAGGACCTGGCGGTTGATCCAACAATCGCTGGGATGCCATTCTTCTTCTTCTTCGGTAAAAGTTAGACTCCGACAATGCGGAAAATGGGCCTTGAGATCGTTTTTCCCTCACATCCAAAGCAACGACTGCTCTCGCAACTTTGTTTGCGA